GAACATGCTTTTTGCAATTAGCACCCCCTTCAGGATGCGTTTTATCTTCGCGCGAGGCAGCGGACGGCGGGGTCCGGACCCCCCTGGACACCCTCCCCCTGTCACCACGCCCTGCCGTAACTTGACCAATGAGTTTAGTCCTGTTGCCCCCATGCCCTCCAAATTATTCATAGCATTAGTGCTGGACAACTTCGAAGTGGGGGCACGGGGAAAAAGGCAGGGTCGGACGTCGACAGTAGCCTGCTAGGCCCGGCTCTAGCCCGGACTAGTAATTGTTTGGAAGCGGCTGATAGGTTAAAGGCCAGGGTGGGCTTAGCCCGTCGCGGGCCAAGCGAAGTTAAACAATCCAGCACGCAGATTTGCGTTATATTCGTGAAATGAACGTGTGTGGCGGGGAGCGCTGTACTGTTTCCGAGCATAAATCGACACTTTGCGGACGCAGGGCCATTAATTCTTGCGTTCGGTGTGTGCGTGGTCGAAAGGCGAACGTATGTTGACGCGAGAAAATAACGTATTACGGCGCGTTTGTATGCTCAGTGATCATGCAGCTGTTTGCCGCATTATACAAGTTATGTTTCAACTGGCGCGGCGTACCACCCTGTTCATTTATGTGGCTGTGCGGGGATTGCATGCGGAATGGAGTAAGTTCGATTAACGAAACGCAAGTTTGATGAACAAAGTATTAATGTAACCAAAACGCAAAATGGTCGAATGAACGTCATGTCATACGAGTCATTGCTATTTTGGCTACCTTTGACCCTTGACCCCAATTTGTCATCCTTCGAGTCCTTTTCACGATCCCCCCGACCGGGGGGCGGCGGCCCGAATATCGATGGACCGTCCTTAGATTTGTGCGCCAAACTGTTGACAGCTCATCCCCCCCGGGATTTACGCCCATGCTAACGTTATACTACTTATATAACTACCTTATACTAACTACTATACGTTAGTATAGTCGAGATCAGTGGGTTGTACGATAGAAAGGGGCGCTGCATACAGTTTGTTATTTCCGTAGATATAGAATACAGAATCTTCGCGATTGCACCCTTTTCAATCAACGGGTTGCCTCATGATCTCATAACATCGTAAATATTATTCTTCAAAGTCCAAAAGACATAGATATCGAACACGGAAAGAAACAAAGTTGATCAAATGGGCAGATCAAGATTGCCGATCACAGTAGAAAAAGCTACAAATATGCATTTAACTAAAGAGAAAGGAAGAGAATTTAAATGCGGGATTACAGAAACAAAGCAGCTAAACTCAAGGGGATCTTTTCAATGTGGCACGTGTCGAAAGCAATGATCACGCTCAGATGATCAAGTGCAACGAACAGCTATAGGCTTCATCAAGTAAGAGGGAATGCCAATCTTCAACTACATGACCATGATGACTAGCTATAATGGAAAGTTTAGCATGGAGAAAGCGTAGCATTTGCGCAGCAGTCGAGTTGGTTATTTTTTCTAATCTATCTATCTATCTATCTATCTTTTGAAGAGCTTATTTGAAAAACTGCTTATGTCCATTTTTTTCAAAAATGAGTTTAAACCACCAATGTATAGTATTTGAACATAGGTACCGTGTATAGTACCTTTTTCTTGAAAAACAGCCAACATCATGCTTAAAATACCCATCATAAATCATGTTTAGCTCAATGGCGTAGCCAGGATTTTTTAACAGGGGACAAAAACAGCGAACTGCGCAAAACAGTGGACGACTTAATATTTTAATGGTTCCTCCGCCTCCCTCTCCACATCATACGCTCCCCCACCTCTCAGCTGTGCAAGCTTTGTTTTGGACGCCATGCAAAAAGGCCACATTTTTGTTCGTTGTTCCCTGCTCCCAAGATATGTAACTGTTCAGTGGCGGATCCAGGATTCCGAGGAGGGGATGAAAAACAGGCTAGTGGTATGTGGGTCCTCCCCCAGAAAATTTTGAAAATGTAGATCGCAGGAGATGGTATTAGAGGCACTTTTAAGTACATGTACAGCCTTCATTTGGACTACGACAATTCTCTTTTTAGTAGAACTATTCTTGCACTTGCAGCGCGGCATTGATTGATGTGCAGGGGGCGGGGACAGGGGGTGACTTATTGTGCGTGTACTATTTATCTCAGCCATGGCATCTGCTACAACGAGATTTAGGCTATCTATATTATAATACACGCACGTACAAGACTTACATGGTACTGCGTACTGTCTCATCTATCTCGTGCACTGTACTGTTGCCTAATACCACATGTAATACATTTTGTTAAATGTTTTAGGACTGCGTGCGTTTGTATGTGGCCGTATACGTAGCACGTCAGATAGACTACAGGAATATAGGCTAATTCTGCAGACTTTACCGTTTAATTTCCAGGCCGCGTTCTGTGCCGTAAATAAAAATAACGCTTCCAGGTCGTGGTGGTAGGGGTTGGTCGTGTGTACAGTTGAGCTGTCAACGAACCTTCGCATGTTTTCTTCATTTTTTTTGTACTTTCGGGTCAACCCCATTTGCCTCCCCCCTAACTTTCGGTCATGGCCCTCTTTGCCTCCCCCTAACTATACGCCAGCTGCTGCATGCTGCTGCTGGTAGTGGCGGTGGTGGTACTGTTGCTGTTTTTCCTGCTGCCGATACTGTCATCTTTGACGACGATGAAAATGGCGATGACAAAGCTATACATTTAAATTTGCTCCACTACTCACCGCGAAGAACACGAGCTTTGTGAGAACAGGCCAGCCAGCCTTGGCATGTGAACGGTGGCGCGTTACGATCAAATCTCTACTCTTTAAGCCTGCCGCACACGCTGTGTTTTGTGCTGCGCCATCGGCCACGCGTGGCTGATGGCGCAGCACAAAACACAGCGTGTGCGCGTGCAAACACAGCGATTTCTTGCGTGTGGAAAATATCACACGTGTTTGATATTTTCTTCCACGTGTGGCAGATTCCACAGCGTGTGCGGTGTGCCTGTGTCAAGTTCCACACCGGCTCTATGTAACCGACCAATAGCAGCAGGTCAAGCGAGTCACGTGATCTTAACTTGCGGTTGCAGCGCGGTTGCACTGCGGTACACGCGTGCGTATACCCGCGTGTACGTGCGTGATCTGCGTGTACGTGGCGTGTACCCGCGTGTAACGTGCACGCGGGTACACGCACGTACACGCGGGTACACGCACGTACACGCAGGTACACGCACGTACACGCACGTACACGCGGGTACACGCGGATACACGTACGTACACGCATTGTACACGAACGTACACGCGGGTACACGCACGTACACGCAGGTTACACGCACGTACAGCGAGCGGGATGCACGCATGTAACGACGCCGGGATACACGAGCAGAAATACAACGCAGACGGTAAAC